AAAATTCGATTATAGAAAAAACGAAAATTCGAAAAATGGAAAAGTCGAAAATTCCAAATTTCGAAAATTGGAAATTTGAAACTGCGAAAATTCAAAAAACAGAGAAATCGAGAAACCGAAAAGTTGAAAAGTCGAGAAGCCGAAAAATTGGGAAATCGAAAATCCGAAAAATAAAAAAAAAAGGAAAACCGATTAATGGAAAAATCGAAAATTTAGAAACGCCAAAAACTGAAATATTGAAAAATCAAAAAAATTGAAATATTAAAAATCCAAAAATTGAAATTTCGGAAAATAGAGAAATCGAAAAATTCGAATAACAAAATTGAAAATTTTAAAAGTCGAAAATCGAAAACCGAGAAATGCAGAAATGGAAACATCGAAAGATTGAAAAATTGAGACATCAAGAAATCGAAACATCAAAAAAGATCGAGAAGTCGAGAATTTGGAAAGACGGGAAATTGAAAAATCTAAAAATTAAAAAATGTCAAGAATGTAGTATCAAAAAATTGAATAATCGAATAGTTGAAAATCGCAAATTTGAAAAATTTTAAAATCGAGAGAATTGAAAAATCGAAAAATTGAACAAACGAGATCTCGAAATTAAAAAATTCGAATATCGGAAAATCGAAAAGTAAGAAAATTGAGAAGTGAAAAATGGAAAAATTGAAAAATAAAATTCAAAAAATAAAAATTTAAAAATTGAAAAATTTAAAAATCGATAAATCAAAAAGGAAGCAAATTAGAAAATCTAAAACTCCAAAAACCGAAAAATCAAAAATTGGAACGTCAATATTTCGAAAAATTCAAAAAACGAAATAAAAATACGAAATATCCAAAGTCGAAAAGTTTTTAATTTCAAAAAATCTAAAATCAGAAAAATGAAAAAATCTCGATTTCTAAAATTGAAAATTTGAAAAATCGAAAAGCTAAAAGGACAAAAAATTGAAAAAATGAAAAATTGAAACATCACAAAATCGAAAAATTGAAAAATCGAGAAATCGAAACATTAGAAGATCCAGAAAATCTAAAGCCGAGAATTGAAAAATCTATAAACCAAAAAATCAAGAAAACTTAAAAAATGGGGAAATCGAAAAATTTTAAAGATTGATAAACTGGGATGTCGAGAAATGAAAAATTAGAAAAATCGAAAAATTGAAATAATAACGTATTAAAAAATAATAAAATAAAAAATTGAAAAATCAAAAAATGGAAAACTTAAAAATCAAGGAAACTGGAAACCGGAAAATCTAAAATTTAAAAAATCCAAAAATTCAAGAATCGAATAGTTAAAAGATTGAGAAACTGAAAATCCCAGAATTGAAATGCAGACAAATTGCCAAATCGAAAAACTGAAAAATCGAAACATCAAAAAATTGGACAATCGAAAAGCCGAAAAATCGAAAAATCGAAAAAGTCGGATAATTGAAAAATCGACAATTCGAAAAATGGAAGATAGAAAATTCGGAAGTTTGAAATCGAAAACATGAAAAATCGAAAGTTCCAAAAATTAAAAAGGCGAAAAATCGAAAAACTCAAATCAAAAAAACGAAAAATGGAGAAATAAAAAAAATCTTGGTTTTAAAAAATCGAAAAACTGAAAAATCTAAAAGCTGAAAAATTCTAAAGCGGAAGTGACGAAAAACTGGAAAATGGATAAATTAAAAAATCGAAACATTGAAAATTAAATAATCGACAAAAACGAAAAATCGGAAAATGAAAATTCAAGAAATTAAAAATGGCAAAATCGAAATCTCCTAAAATCGAAAAATTATAACTTGAAAAATTAATATTACAAAAATTCGATTATAGAAAAAACGAAAATTCGAAAATTGAAAATTTGAAACTGCGAAAATTCTGAAAGCAGAGAAATCGATAACCAAAAAGTCGAGAAGCCGAAAATTCTGGAAATCGAAAAACCGAAAAATAAAAAAAAACCGATTAATGGAAAAATCGAAAATTTAGAAACGCCAAAAACTGAAATATTGAAAAATCCAAAAAAATTGAAGTATTGAAAAATCCAAAAATTGAAATTTCGGACAATGGGAAAAAAGAAAATTCAAAATTTCCATAATTGAAAATTTGAAAAATTAAAAATTAAAAATCCGAGAAATGCAGAAAGCGAAACATCAAAAAATTGAAAAATTGAGACATAAAGAAATCGAAACATCAAAAAAGATCGAGAAGTCGAAAAATCGATACATCGAAAAGCAAAAAAATCAAAACATCGAAAAATCGAAAATTTGGAAACGCCATCTTTGAAATATTGAAAAATCGTAAATCTGAAATAATGGAAAATTGATAAATCGGAAAACAAAAAAAAAGGAGAAGTCGAGAATTTGGAACGACGGGAAATTGAAAAATCTAAAAATTAAGAAATCTCAAAAATGTAGTATCAAAAAATTGAATAATCGAAAAATTGAAAATCGCGAATTTGAAAAATTTTAAAATCGAGAGAACTGAGAAATCGAAAAATAAAAAATTGAACAGACGAGAAATCGAAATTAAAAAATTCGAATATCGGAAAATCGAAAATTCAAAAAATGGAGAAAACGAAAATTCGAATCTTCGAAAATTAATATTTGAAAATTCGAATATCGGAAAACCGAAAAGTAAGAAAATTGAGAAATGAAAAATGGAAAAATTGAAAAATAAAATTCAAAAAATAAAAATTTAAGAACTGAAAAATGTAAAAATCGATAAATCAAAAAGGAAGCAAATTCGAAAACCTAAAAATCCAAAAACCGAAAAATCAAAAATTGGAAAGTCAATATTTCGAAAATTCCAAAAAACGAAATATCGAAAGTCAAAAAATCGAAAATCAGAAAAATGCAAAAATCTCGATTTCTAAAATTGAAAATTTGAAAAATCGAAAAGCTAAAATGACAAAAAATTGAAAAACCGAGGAATTGAAACATCACAAAATCGAAAAATTGAAAAATCGAGAAATCGAAACATTAGAAGATCGAGAAATTCAAAAGCCGAGAATTGAAAAACCTATAAACCAAAAAATTAAGAAAACTTAAAAAATGGGGAAATCGAAAAATTTAAAACATTGATAAACCGGGATGTCGAGAAATGGAAAATTAGAAAAATCGAAAAATTGAAATAATAAAATATTATAAAATAATAAAATAAAAAAATTGAAAAATCAAAAAATTGAAAACTTAAAAATCAAGGAAACGAGAAATCGAAAAATCTAAAACTCAAAAAGTTGAAAAATCGAAGAATCGAATAATTAAAAGATTGAGAAACAGAAAAATCCCAGAAGTGAAATGTAGACAAATTGGGAAATCGAAAAGCCGAAAAGTCGAAAAATCGAAAAAGTTGGAAAATTGAAACATCGACAATTCGGAAAATGGAAAATAGAAAATTCGAAAATTCGAAATCAAAAACATGAAAAATCGAGAGCTCCAAAAATTAAAATGTCGAAAAATGGAAAATTTAAAAAATCAAACCCAATAATAGAAAAATTCAAACCAAAAAAACGAGAAATGGTGAAATAAAAAATCTACATTTTAAAAAATCGGAAAAATGAAAATCGAAAAGTTAAGAATGGAAAAACTGAAAAATCTAAAAACTGAAAAATTCTAAAGCTGAAATGACGAAAAATTGAAATTAAAAATGGAAACATTGAAAATTAAATAATCGACAAAAACGAAAAATCGAAATACTGAAAATTTGAGAAATTAAAAATGGCGAAATCGGAATAGCTTAAAATCGAAAAATGAGAATTTGAAAAATTAAAATTACAAAATTTCGAAAAATGGAGAAGTTGAAAATTCCAAATTTCGAAAATTGAAAATTTGAAAGTGCGAAAATTCGAAAAACAGATAAGTCGACAAACCGCAATTTGAAAATTCGGAAGCCGAAAAATCTGGAAATCGACAAACCGAAAAATCGATTAATCGAAAAATCGAAAATTTAGAAACGCCAAAAACTGAAATATTCAAACATCGAAAAAATTGAAATATTGAAAAATCGAAAAACTGAAAAATCGTAAATCTGAAATATTGGAAAATTGAGAATTTGGAAAGCTAGGAAATTGAAAAATCCAAAAATTAAGGAATCTCAAAAATGTAGTATCAAAAAATTAAATATTCGAAGAATGGAAATAAAGGAAAATCGAATTTTCGTAAATTAATATTTGAAAAATCGAATAATCGAAAAATCGAATAATCGAAAAATAGAGAAATAGAAAACTAGAACAATAAATAAATAAATCAAGAAGTCGAAAATTTCGAAAAATTGAGATACTGAAGAATCGAAAAATTGAGTAATCAAAAAATTGAAAAATTGAAACATCGAGAAATCGAAACATAAAAAGATCTAAATGTTGAAAAGTCGAAAAATTGAAAGAAGAAAAGTAAAAAAACAAAAATTCGAAAAATCGATTGATCGAAAAATCTAAAATTTGGTAATATTGCAAAATCGAAAAACGGAAATAAAACTGAAATATTGGAAAATAGAGAAATTAGAGATTTGAAAATCGGGAAATTGAAAAATTTGAAAATCGAAGAATTGAAAAATAGAAAAATTAAAAAGTTCACCACACGAGAAATCGACATGTCAAAAGATTTAAAAATCGAAAAGTGGAAAAATCAAGAAACTGAAAAGTAAAAAAGTCAAAAAATCGGAAACTAGAAAATTTAGAAACACCAAAAAATAAAACTGAAAAATTGAGATATTGAAGGATCGAAAAATCGAAAACTAAGGAATTGAAAAACTAGAAAATCGGAGAATTGAAAATTCAAAAAATTAAAAAAAATTAAAATTGTAATATCTAAAAATTGTACAGTTTTGATTAACTCGAGAATCGTAAACCACAAATGCAGGCGTATCTTATTTTATAAATTGTAAATCACATTTACTAATGTAAATTTTGGAGACCACGTCATCCTATTCTTGGTGGAGATAATTATCTAACCGGGAGACCCATTTTTTCGTACTCTAGGAGTCATGAAACCTCAAAACTAAAACTTAAATTTGGTTTTTCATTTCAGGTACATCTGCCTCGAAGACTACTCAAACGTCGGCGTGGAGTACGGCCGCATGTACACAACAATCCTGATGTTCCTCCAGTACATAATTCCCTCGGTGGTCCTCCTCTTCACCTACACCAGCATCGGAGTGGTGATATGGTGCCATCGCATACCCGGAGAAGCGGAAAACTCGCGCGATCAGAGAATCGCCAGATCGAAAACTAAGGTAAGAGAAAATCTCTATATTTGCGTAAAACACGAATAACGTTTCGCCGATTTGAGCTGTCACCTTTTTCCGTTTTCGTCGTTGCGACGGCTCTCGGGCGAACATTATAAATGTATTGAAGCTTTGCATTCAACTCCCCGATCTAATTTGAATCTTAAGACGAATTCCTAATGCAATATTTAGACACGACAAGAATGTATTTCATCCGCTTTGATCTACACGCCCTGCAAGGATCTATTCGCAATTTAAGGCTTTCAATACCGTTATGAACGCACTTCATACATAGTAAAAATGTCTGCGGAGTGCTTGAGAGTTCGGATTTATTTCGGCTGCGATGGTGTAAAGATAAAGTGTTTTTTGGGGCGGCTTGAGGGCGGTAAATCACAGTTTTATCGGTTCGGTAGGAGTCGTACGACTTTTTTTTTTAATTTATGCTGTACACTAACTACGTATTTGTATTATAATCGGTTGGTGTAAAGCCCAAAGGGCTACATTTTTCCGTTCCGGTGTTATCAGCCCCTAAATTCAAAAAAGGTTTTTACAAATCGAGAAAATCCTACAAATTCCGGGTGAAGTTAGAGGAATAGCGAACAATTGATGACAGAAAAGAATTTAACGGCACCAAAGGACCAATAAACCAGAATTTCAAGCCTGATACGACTGAAAATTTTTATTTTTTTGTGTTAAATATTTTGCAAAATATCGACATATTTTCTGATTTAACTAATGGTTAACTGTCCCGTTTATACGAGCATAGAATTTTTTGAAATCGTGTTCTCTAAATGAGGATGAAAAGTGAGCTTCCGATTTCCAAAATATTTCCAAAAAATACTCAAAATTGATTCAATCGACTAAGAATTGATTACCGCCGACACGAGATCTAGCGTGAAAAAGGAGTTCTAAATTTTCAAAAATTTTCCAAAAAAATAGTTAACGTGGGTTAGTCGATTGAAAATTGGTGTTAAATTGTAGATAATCTTCAGCTAATTAGAATCTGAACTCGCCGTCAGGATATCTACTTATATAACCGTGAAAGGTGAGTTCAAAATTTTCAAAAAAAGTTGGTTAAAATGGTTTCAATTTATTGAGAATTGGTGTGAAATTGTAGATAATCATCCGCCAATTACCAATCCGAAATCGCGAACATGACATCTAGTCAAATAAACGTGAAAAGTGAGTTCAAAATTTTCAAAAATTTTCCAAAAAAATTGTTAAAATGGGTTCAATTGACTAAAAATTGATGTCAACCCATAGATAATTTTCGTCAATTGGGAATCCGAAATCGCCATCACGACATCTAGTCAAATAAACGTGAAAAATAAATTCAAAATTTTTCCAAAAAGATGGTAAAATGGGTTTAAAGGCTAAAAATTCGTGTCAACTCGTAGATATTTTTTCGCCAATTAGGAATGCGAGACTTCCATCACGACATCTAATCAAAAGAACGTGAGAAGTGGGTCCAAATTTTCAAAAATTTTCCAAAAAAATGGTTAAGATGGGTTTAAGGGATTAAAAATCGGTGTCAAATTGTGAATAATTTTTCGCCAACTACGAATCTGAAATCGCCATCATATCTAGTAAATTAAACGTGAAAAGTGAGTTGAAAATTTTCATAAAATTTTCCAAAAAAATGCTTCAAGTGGGTTTAATGGACTAAAAATTGATGTCAAATTGTGGATAATTTTTCATCAATTACGAATACGAAGTCACCGTCACTATACATATGTAGTCAAATAAACGTAAAAAGTAAGTCCAAAATTTTTAAAAATTTTAGAAAAAATTGTTAAAACGGGTTTAATTGACTAAAAATTGGTGTCAACCTGTGGACAACTTTTGGTAAATTACGAATCCAAAATCGCCATCACCAACTCTAGTCAAGAAAACGTGAAAAGTGGGACTAAAGTTTTCAAAAACTTTCCAAAAAAAATGAGTAAAATGGGTTCAATAGACTAAAAACTGGTGCCATATTGTAGATAATCTTTCGCCAGTTACGAATCCGAAATTACTCTCACGACATCTCGCCGAATAAACGTGAAAACCGAGTTCAAAATTTTCAAAAATTTTCCAAAAAAATGGTAAAAACGGGTTTATTCGACTCTAAATTGTTGTCAAATTGTAGATAATTTTTCACTAATTATGAATCTGAAATCGCCATTACAACATATTTATATGTTGATTATAATCAAATAAACGTGAAAAGTGAATTCAAAGTTTTAAAAATTTTTTCAAAACAATTGATAAAATGGGTTTAATTGACTAAAACTTGGTGTCAACCTGTCGATAATTTTTCGTCAATTACGAATCTAAAATCGCCATCACGAAGTCTAGTCAAAAAAACGTCAAAAATGGGACTAAAATTTTCAAAAATTTCCAAAAAAAAATAGTTAAAATGGATTTAATCGATTAAAAATCGGTGCCAAATTATGAATAATTTTTCACCAATTGCGAATCTGAAATCACCGTCACGACATCTAGTCAAGAAAACTTGAAAAGTTGAACTCAAGTTTTCAAAAATTTTCCAAAGAAATGTTTAAAATGGGTTCAATCGATTGAAAATTGATGTCACACCTATGGATAATATTGCGCAAATTACGAATCCAAAATCACCGTCACGATATCTAGTCAAACAAACATGAAAAGCGAGTTCACAATTTTCAAAAATTTTCCAAAAAAATGGTTAAAATGGATTTAATCAACTAAAAACTGATGCCATGTTGTGTATACTTTTTCGCCGATTACGAATCCAAAATCACTGTCACGATATATATCAAATAAACGTGAAAAATGAGTTCAAAATTTTCAAAATTTTTCCAAAAAAACGGTTAAAATGAGTTTAATCTACTAAAAATTGGTGTCAACTTATGGACAATTTTTGACTACTTACGAATCCAAAATCGCCACCACGAAGTCTAGTCAAGAAAACTTGAAAAGTGGAACCAAAGTTTTCAAAAATTTTCCAAAAAAATGCTTAAAATGGGCTTAATCGAATAAAAATTGGTGTCAATCTATAGATAATTTTTTGGCAATTACGAACCCAAAGTCGCCATCACGTCATGTAATCAAAAAAACGTGAAATGTAGGTCCAAAATTTTCAAAAATTGTCTAAAAAGTTGGTGTCAAATAATAAATAATTTTTCGCCAATTACGAATCTGAAATTATCATCACATCTAGTAAATAACCGTGAAAAGTGAGTTGAAAATTTTCAAAAAATTTTCAAAAAACCTGCTTGAGTTTAATCGATTAAAAGTTGATGTTAAATTCTAGATAATTTTTCATCAATTACTAATCCAAAGTCACCGTCGTGATATCTAGTGTAACAAATGTGAAAAGTGAGTCCAAAATTTTCAAAAATTTTCCAAAAAATTGGTTAAAATGGGATTAATCGACTAAAAATTATTATCAAACTGTGGACAATTTTTCGTCAATTACGAATCCAAAGTCGCTGTCATGAAGTCTAGTCAAAAAAAGGTGAAAATTGGGAGCAAAATTTTCACAAATTTTCCAAAGAAATGGTTAAAATGCGTTTAATCGACTAAAAATTGGTGCCAAATTATAAATAATTTTTTGGCAATTACGAAGCCAAAGTCGTCATGACGTCATGTAATCAAAAAAACGTGAAATGTGGTTCCAAAATTTTCAAAACTTTTCCAAAAAATTGGTTAAAATGGGTTTAATCGACTAAAAATTGGTGTCGAATTATAAATAATTTTTCGCCAATTACGAATTTGAATTTGTCATCACATCTAGTCAAATAAACGTGAAAAGTGAGCTGGAAATTTTCAAAAAATTTTCCAAAAAAATGCTTGAAATGAGTTTAATCGATTAAAAGTTGATGTCAAATTGTAGATTACTTTTCATCAATTACGAATTCGAAGTCGCCGTCGTGATATCTAGTGTAATAAACGTAAAAAGTGAGTCCAAAATTTTCAAAAAATTTCCAAAACAAATTTTTAATTGGTGTCAACCTATGGATAATATTTCGCCAATTACGAATCCAAAAATCGCCATCCCGAAGTCTAGTTAAAAATCGTGAAAATTGGGACCAAAATTTAGAAAAATTGTGCAAAAAATGGTTAAAATGGGTTTAATCCAGGAAAAATTGGTGTCAACCTATAGACAATTTTTTGGAAATTACGAACCCAAAGTCGCCATTACGAAATTTAATTAAAAACACCTGAAATGAGGGCTCAAAATTTTCAAAATTTTTCCAAAAAAATTTTGAAAATGGGTTTAATCGACTGTAAATTGTTGTCAAATTGTAAATAATTTTTCACTGATTATTATTAATCCGAAATCGCCATTACAACATATAATCAAATACCTGAAAAGAGAATTCAAAATTTTCAAAAATTTTCCAAAAGAATGGATAAAATGGGTTTAATGGACCAAAACTTGGTATGAAAAATCTCCATCACGAAATCTAGTCAAAAAAAAACCTCAAAAGTAGGACTAAAATTTTCAAAAATTTTCCAAAAAAATAATTAAAATGGGTTCAATCGATTGGAAACTGGTGTCATATTGTAGATAATTTTTCGCCAGTTATGAATCCCAAATCACCGTCACGACATCTAGTCAAATAAGCGTAAAAGACGAGTTCAAAATTTTCAAAAAATTTCCAAAAAAATGGTTAAAATAGTCTTAATTCACTAAAAATTGGTGTCAATTTATAGATAATTTTTCGCCAATTACTAATCCAAATCGACGTTATGACATCTAATAAAAAAAAAATTAAAAGTGGGTCCAAAATTTTCAAAAATTTTCCAAAAAAATGGTTAAAATGGGTTTAAAATATTAAAAACGGACGTCAAATTGTAGATATTTTTTCACTACCAACAAATCCAAAATCGCCATCACGAAATCTAGTCAAATAAACGTGAAAACTGCGTTCAAAATTCTCAAAAAATTTTCCAAAAAAATTGTTAAATTGGGTTCAATCGACTAAAAATTGAGGTCGTATTGTTGATAATTTTTCGCCAATTACGAATCCAAATTCACCGTC